CCTTCTACAATTATATCTTGCATTATAGCTATTGCTGCACCTACACATTTCAGTTACATGTTTACATACCAAACTTCCCAACTAGTTTGACAGTCATGGTTTCATCTCTATTTGTAGCTCCAATGCCATGCACACAGAAGGCTCTCAAAGTTTTAATGACCACAGTCCCTCCTCATCTCTTACCTGAACTACTAAAATAGCCCCCAAAATAGACACCTTGAGTTTTTTTCTATTCACTTCTTTCGTCCTTCAGCCAACACTATCTTTCTAAAGCACATAATGATATCATTCCACTGTTTAAAAATCTTTAGTGGTATGAAATTTTTTTTTGTTGCTGTTGCTGTTTTGTAGTACTGAGGATTGAAACCAGAGCTTTCTCAATGAACTATATGCTTAGTCCTTCTTTTATTTTTTATCTTGAGACAGGGCCTCACTAAATTGCCCAGCTGAGTTTGAACTTGGGATTCTCCTGCCTTAGCATCTCAGTGTTGGGATTACAGGTGTGGACCATCACACACTGCTGTGTATAACATTCTTTTGGCATGACACAGATGCCATTCACCATCTGACTGTTTTTCTCTACTTCAGTCCTGCATTCCACCCGTACTTAGCTTCTTGCCTGTCAATGAATATGCCACTAGCCTTCATACTTTTGGACTTGCAGCCTCCTCCGCTTGGAATAGCCATCCTTCCTCACTCACCTGGTGAATCCCTACTCTTTCTTCAACATACAGCTCAGGTTTCCTCCAGACTGTCAAACCATTCCTACACTTGGCATTATGCATTTACCTCATTTACCTGACTGTGTGATTTCCCCAACTAGACTGTGGAATCTTAAAGAACAGGGACTATGTCTTATTACTCTTTTGTGCAGGATGTCTAAAAAGTGCTGACTGAATCAGTGGAATAAAATTTAACTAGTACATCCTATACTCGAGCAAACTCAAACACAAATAAATTCAAGGTGGGTAACTCTTCCAAGATTAACTAAAAGTCAGGGAGTAAAAATATAAAGAAAAAACCCGGAAGTTCTGTTGCTCAACCCTGAATTCTACACACTGGAACAATTCCTTCCACGGTAATTAATTTAATTGGTAAAATATACAGTGAGGGAATTTCAACATGAACTTTGAAAAACATAAGCAAGCACAAGGCATGTGTTTCCTGCATTAGTATAATACATAAGGGTACTGGCAAATTCTTGAATGTGTGTCTTAAGGATAAAGAGATGAGTCATTTTATACATCCTGAAACAAACCCTTACCAGGGAAATTCCTGTCTGTTTACATATAATCACATGGTTTCATTCATTAGTCCTAAACGCATGTAGGCTACAAGGATTGCAAAAACATTGTCTGCCAATTGTGTAATAAACCCAACACTATTTGCTTTTCATTGAAAGGGGAAATTTTTAAAGTGTATGTTAATCCTAAATTAACAAGGAGACTGGGGTAGGATAAAGAGAAAGGAAAAATTGGGCATTATTCAACTTTTTACCTCTTCAATTTTTGAAATGAGTTTTTAACATTAAAAAAAAACTGTCAATTAAAAGATTCATCAGCCTTAGTCTAGCTTTTTTCTTCAGTCATTACCTATGGTAAAAGAAAAAGGTCTATGGCCATACCATCTTGAATGTGCCTGATCTTGTCTAGTAAAAGAATAAGAAATGTCCTGAAAAGTCAAAAGGTCTTGGTTTCAAGTTCGAAGGCAGTATAATTTAGAATCACCTTTGATATCGAGTCAAAAGAGTTCTTAAAATTCATTAATTATTTTCAATGAGGCTAAAGTGTAGCTACAATGTATAGTTCTAAATGTTTGCCTGGGTGGTAAATATTTCTTTTTAATCAGTAGATCAGGACTGTCTCCAAATCTAGAATATAAGTTCCATGATAGAAAATCTTTAATATTTCATTCACTAGTGTTTCTCAAGGGCCTAGAACCTGGCACAGAGTAGGCACTCATACAATAGCTCAAGATGGTCAAAATATTTATTGTCAATATATACAATAAGTCGCAGATCCTCAACAAACAAGTTGAAGTGTGACTTCATCCTGACGTGATCACTGACATAGTCTTCCTACACAAGGGTTAGCCAATCAATAAAAACAACTCGTACAGTATCAAAAAGCAAATTTATAATGCACAAAGTAACAAAACATTTACACAGGGGTAACAAGATTTTGAAACCTTAAAACTTGCCATGAAGTTGGCAAAAAGAAAAAAAGTCCCAAAATTTTCAATAAGCATAAACTCTTGCATTTTTTTTGCAATCCAATTCCAAAAGATACACTGGGCTTTACAAAAAAAAAAATTTAATAAATTAAGCCAAGTGCAGTGGTATAAGACTGTAGTTCTGGCTACTCAGGAGGCTGAGGGAGGACCTCTTGAACCCAGAAATTTGATAGCAGCCTGGGCAACACAGTGAGACCCAAACTCTAAAAATAAAATAAAATAAAATAAAATAAAATAAAATAAAATAAAATAAAATGAAATAAAATAAAATAAAAAAGAGTATCACTTAAACACTAGTACATTTACTAAAAAATTTCATTTCCAGTATTACCAAAAAAAAGCTAAGTAATTGCTATTCCTATTTTGCTGTTTACTACTGAAAAAGCACAATGTAAATATTTATGAAATTGGTAGTTTTAGTTTTCTCTATTAAATGCCATCATGAGCATTTCACACTGAATGAGGCTATATGTTATCCATTCCCCCTTTTTTTAAAGGGGTTACTTTTTCAGCCCTCATTACTAAGTTACAGAAACCTGTAAAGGTAACTTCTCTCCTTGGTCTGTTTTCTCTTCTGTAGAATGAAAGACCTGGATTAAAACAACAGTTAACCTTTTTATTTCTCTACAACACTTTGAAAGTCTGTTGAAAGCTACAAGTGACCTCTCCATAAAAATGCACTTACACATACCTGCAAAAGACAGGAATCAACCTAAATGTCCACCAATAGATGGTTAAGTAAACTATGTCTATTTAATGAAATTCCACACAATGCAAGATAAAGGCATTTTCTATGTACTAATAAGGAAAGATTTCATCATGTGTTGTTAACCAAAAGCAAATTACAGAAAAATGTGTGTAATGTACAACTTTCAGTTGTAGGGAGACCAGAGAAATACTCTTACATTCTGACCAGTCTCAGAATGTGAAGTAAATTAATGGTGCAAGAATCAGATGGAATTGTGTTTTCATCGTTAGGCAAGTTACTTAATCTCTCCGAGGCTAAATTTCATCTGTAAAATGGAAATAATGGTATATACCTATCTCATAGGGATACTGTGATGCTTAAAATAGGAAGGACGCCAGGCATGGTGATGCACATCTGTAATCCCAGAACTCTGGGAGCCTGAGGCAGAAAGATGACAAGTTTGAGCCCAGCTAACACTTTACCAAGACTTTTCTCAAAATAAAAAAGGGCTGGGATGACACAAGGAATACAAAAACTATGTACTGCAAATATGTACAAATAAAAATTAATTTAACTAATTTAAAGGGGGGGCTCGATTTGTTGCTTAAAGGAAGGCCCTAGGTTCAATTCCCAGTACTGAAAAAAAATCCTCTCCCCTCAAAAATGAGTAACAAGGGTCATACAAAGAGACTGGTTCTTGCATTCTTAGAAATACATAAAGCAAGGTATCCCAGAACAGTTGTCTCTGATGGCTTGAACCAAAGCAGACTGCATTCTGGAACCTGTAGTTCCTAGGGAGTACATTTTTAGATACAAGTGATGCCTCCTTTTCACCACTGAAAATAACATGACAGCATTCCTAACAAAAAGCAACAAATATCTCTGGACTTTTCTGATTTATGGTTCCTGAAAATCTAAGTAAGCATTTTTAAAAATTAAGCAGACCTGTAGATGTGTTGGCTGGCTGTGTCCCAGAGTCCTACACTGTAACAGTCTAGGTTTGTTTTTTAAACAGTTCACTTTATATGTCAAAGCTCAATACCATGGAGTGGTAGGCTCCTGATGATGATAAAGGCAAAGAAGTCCACGCAAGTGTCCTACCTAAAATTGCCAGGATGACAGTAGGAGAACTATATGGCTCAAGAGATAGAAGAGGCGCCCACCAACCAATCTTCTTTCCCCAAACTTTTAAACGCTATCCAAGCCTTTTAGTCGGGCATTACTGGCGCTTATTCTTAGTATCATCATAAATATAAATAGCTGTCATTTATCGCTTCCTCACTCTGAGCCAAACATGTACTTTTCATTATTTTATGGGGAAAAAAAATGCACGTGAGATTCTCCAACCCACTACTCTCAAGTCTGAAAAGTTCCCTGCACATCCTCAAAGCAACGCATACCCTACACTCTGGACACTCCACAGCCCTCCCTCGCGGACCCCCTCAAGTCCAAGAGCCACGTCCCTCCAAGCAACAGGACCCCAGCTCTCTCGGCCCAACTATAAACCGAGCGTTTCCCGGATCTTCCAGGGCCCCTCCCCCTCCACACACCATTTCCAACCTGCCCCTAACTTGTTCCAAGAACTGTTTCCCTCCAAACTTCTGACTTGCGTAAGGCGAGGGTCGCCTCGCTGCCCTTCCAAATCCAACGTGCCTGTTGTTCATTCCAAAGTTCACAATCCACAAACACATACTGCACCTGGGCAAAGCCCGGTCCCAACCCCGCGAGAACGCCCCACACCCGCTCGAGCAGGGCCCCGGGCTCTCCACCCCCCTGGCCAGGCCGGGGCCGCGGGGCCTGGATGCGGACCCCACGCGGGGAAGGGGAAGCTCCACCTGGCTCCGCGGGCGCGGCGCGCGCCTCCTGC